TTTCTTTCACGTCTGATATCTTAATCCTATGAACGTGTCTATGACCTCTGCCCTCATTTATGTGAATAATTCCTTGTACCGTTGTGTCTCCAATGTGTTTGTCATCTAATAATTATTGGAATTAAACTCTCCACTTTTCATTGACCTCTTCATCCTTCACCAAGACCCTATGATCCTCACTCTTATTGCATTTAATATGGTCTAGATTCTACACTTTTTCTCTCTCATTTTTGCTAATTTGAAGATATCTTTTTCACCTTCTTTTGTTCTCAGTTTACTGTATAGATTATCATGTCTTAAGTTTAGCCTTACACTATTTGTTTAGTGTTTTTTTTTAGCATTTTTATATTCTTTCAAGTTTTGATCATTTTTATTGCATTGGCAAGATAACATGGTCGTTTTCACTATGGCCTTTTGAATCTCATCATTCCACCACCATGTTTCTTTGTCAGAGTTTCTTTTCCCTTTAGTTTCTCCCAAAACTTCTTGTCAGCCATCTCATTCCACATGGCAATGACCTCATATTCGGAGTTTCTATTTTCAACTTCATGGAGAAAGGGGGGAGTTACTCGAAAATCCCAACTAGTATAACCATATTGTGGGCATGCTCATACACCTCTTGATCACACAACCAAACATCTCTTATGTTGTTAGTGTGGTCAGCCAATTTATACATGCACCATGAGAACCACATCTTGATGCAGTGTATTAGATATTGAGATATCTCAGGTCTGTTCTAGGGAGATTGATATTTTTCAACAATCAAGGGCATTGTGATGTTGCTATTTATAGCGATGTTGATTGGGCTAGATGCCAAACTAATAGGGATCCATAGCCAACTATTGCACCTTTGTTTTAGGAAATATGATCTCTTGAAAAAGCTAGAAACAATATGTGGTGGCAAGATCATGTGCTGAAGTTGAATAGAGGGCCATGGCTCATGGTTCATGTCAATTAATGTGGGTCAAAAATGTTCTGTATGATTTTGGGGTTAAAGTTAAGCTTCCCATGACTTTGTACTGTGACAATGAAGCTGCCATTCGTATCTCTGAGAATCTTGTGTTTCATGAAAGGACTAAACACAATGAAGTAGATTGTCACTTTATCAGAGAGAGTTTTTGACAAGATCATTCATACTCTTCATGTGAAGTCTAAAATTCAACTTGCAGATATCCTCACTAAAGCTGTTGGACAAGATAGACTATGAGATATCACAAGCAAGTTGGGCATGTTTCATATGCATCAGCTTGAGGGAAGTGTTGGAAATAATTATTTATTGTTATATCTGGGGGTATAAATGTCTTTTATTATTGTTTAGGACTTACATTTCCTATTATATTCTTCATGGGAATATTGTAAGAAGTTACAATTTAGTAATGTAAAAGACATGCGTGATGGTCATTTTAGCCCATCACGTTACTCTCTCTATATCACGTCTCTCTCTCTCTCTCTTCTCTTCCTTCTTCCTCCTCTTTCCCTCTCTTACAACTCACTAATAACTTTCTTCTACTTCTCGTTTATACTCTTCTTTGATTGATTAGCCCTTGATTACTTTCAACTTGTATAACCCGAAATATGACTATAGGTTGGTGTGTGTCTTTGAGTCATCAATAATATAGAGGAACTGTTTAATGAGGTTTGACTAAGTTTGCTGATGGTTCCAAGACAGCGCTACAACAGGGATTATTGTGCATTTGTTGTATTATATTTGCCTTAGTATTTGGTTTTGTTTATGTTTCCCATTATTATGTTACCTGATAGTACCTATAGAATAGGTAGTACAAGTGATACCATAGAGGGTCATTCGTGAGTGTTTTGAATGCAAACAGATTATACAAATCATGAATTGGTCCCACTATTGGTTTCTTGTGATATATACGTTGGAAGAGCATGGAGGGAGGGAGGGAGGGAGTGAGTTAGAAGTGCATGAAACCTCCTTAATTCAACTCATGTGTGTGGGCCTCTTTCATTTTGTGTGCATGTGTTCAAGTTCACTGGTATGACATTTTACTTTGACAATAATTACATCATGGTACAAACAATATAAAATAAGTAAATTATGCTAAGTACATATTCTCAACACACCCCCTCAAATTGTTCATTGTGTTGAAACATGTACAATTTGTCTTGAAGAAAATGATGCCTTTCACTTCTACGTCCTTTGGATAAGATCACAGAAAATGATGCCTTTCTCAGATATGCAGCTTCCATGCTTGATCTGACTAGATATTATTGCTTCCTGCTCATCCATGATGTCAAATTTTTTCCAAGTAAACACAATATCCTGAGATCAATCTGCACGAGTCCAGATCTCCTGCCCTGTTGGCATTTGAGGATCCAATAATGGTGACTACATGTACAGCGTCCATATAATTTCCATGATGTGTGATGCCTTGATTAATGTTGCCTTTGACATATCGGACTATATGTTTTACGGCTTTCAAGTGAACATTGGTAGGATGTAGGCACATGCATGAATTCGAAGAGCTGTTTACTGCAATGGAAATATTACGACGAGTGAGGGTGAGATAATGGAGTGCACCTCCCATGCTTTGTTATTGTTCAGGATCTTTGATTAATTTCCCTTCACCCTCTCTCAGTATTTAATTAAGTGCTGAAGGTGTGGAATGATTTGCAACTCAATATTACACTGCTCAAAATAAATCCATTACATATTTCTATTGATATCATTGAATTTCATCTCAAGTCCGATCCATTTCTATCCCCATAAAATATCTCAGTTCTTGTAAATCTTTCATTTAAACTTTTCATATAGGAATCTCTTGATATTTGCAATAAGGTTCAGAGAACTTCCTGTGAAAATACTTTCATCGACATATAAGAGAATAATCACAATACCATTAATTCTCTTGTGAAGGAGTAAAGAGTGATCCATTGTTGTCCTCATAAATCCGCCTTTATTGCATGATTACAACTTTGAAATCAGGGACGTGAGGCTTGCTTTAGACCATAAATAGATCTCTTCGGTTTGTACTTATTTGCAATGATCATTTTCACTGAAACCTAGAGGCTGGTCCATGTATATGTCTTCCTTTAACTCTCCAAGAAGAAATGCATTCTTTTCATCAAGCTAAAAGTGGTCAAGGCTAATCATAAAACTGCCCGGATAGTGAATCTTAACAACTAGGATGAAGGTGTCTTCATTGTCCAGTGAATGTTGCTGATTGATTCCTTTTGCCACTAATAGAGCTTTTTGACTTTTTCATCTACTCCTGTATTTTGTTTTTTTACACCCATTTGCGGCCCACAATATTCCTTCCAACTGGCCTATTCACAATTTCCCATGTACTACCATTCAGAAATATTGCTTTCATTTTTTGGCCATTGCTTCTGCCCATTTTTTATTGTGTTTTGTGACAGTAGTTTGCAGGTTCCTTTTGTTCAAGGTTTTCATAGATAAGCACTTGATAGTCATTTGTAAAGCCCCCATAGCTTATCCTTTGATCTATAGGTGATGTACATAGATAGATCTTCGAATATTTTGACTTGCTGCAATATCCACTGTATTGTCTTCTTGTCTCTCTAATTCATCATCTCTATTATCATGTTGCCCTTTTGGTATATATTAAGTGCCAGGTTGCTCCCCTTTGTTTTGTCTGCTATAAACATTCAGCTTGGGAGCGACATTAGGCTGTTGCTCAGATGGAGGTTACTCATCATATAGATATTTAAAATCTTTGCCAAGGTGATGAGGCACATCCTCATCAATCATGCCAGGCTGATAGGTGTCACTGGAGTGCATCATAGTTAAGCAATACTTAATTTTGTACAATGGAATCTTGCTGAATATCTCGAAATATTCCCTTACTGATTTTGCTTTCGTCTAGCAGTAAAATGGTTCTAGGTGGATTATGCATCCTCATTTCATCAAAGGTGGGATTTCTTGAGATCAGAACACGTTTAAGACTAGGTCTGTAACAATCATATCCTTTAGAACCATCTTGTTATTCCACAAAGATGCACACTTCTGCTTTATGAGAGAGTTTCTTGCTTTGACTCTTTTCTATATGAACATATGCTTGACATCGAAAAGATTGAAGAAAGGAATAATGTGCTTGCTTACTATGGAACATGTTTGGCCATTCAAAACATTAATAGGAAATTGATTTATAACATAAACAGCCATGTGACGAGCTTCAGTCCATAAGTATTTTAGAACCCTATTGACGAACATCAAGGAAAGGGTAACCTCGCCAATATGGTAGTGCTTTCATCCCGGTACTATGTCTTGTTGTGGAGTATGTGGGCACGAAATTTGTGGCTCTTATCATGTTATTTTTAAGTAGTTCTTAAATGCATTGTATGAGAACTCCGCTTTGCCATCTCTATGAATGCTTCAAATTTTTCCTCGAGCAAATAAATCCAAGTATACCTTGGGTTTGTCATTCAGATTACATGAGGAAATTTACCAATTGTTTTTATTATTTACATGCTATCTTAAGGAAAAAACGGGTGCCTTAGTTTGTATACAAGCTCTCTTTAACTAGAAAAGTTTTCTAAATGACTTGGGCCAATTGGTTTTGTGGTTCAATAGGTTATTCCCCAGTATGTATTAATGTTCTAAGGGCATAAGCAAGAACTATGATGCTGTGAAGATTTAATCAGGTTTGTAATGCATCTTAATTGATCGGATGCCACAAGTATACTGACAGAATGCTCAAACCTAAAAAGTAAAGACTTGTGGTCCTATTAAGTTTCTGTACAGAATTGATAAATGTTTCTTTAAATGTGCTAAACTAGGTTTCGCTTGTTTTTCCGAAACCCTAGGTCTAGTCTGTCTTTTTTTGGCTGTTGGAGAGGGCTAGTCTACCTTTACCGTGGAGAGAATATTTGCAATATGCTCTTGGCGCAGGCATTCTGCTGCTACAATTTTGTTTACAATCAATTACTTAACACCTGCACACGTGTATACTAGCATCTCAAGTTGGTCACACTTTTTCGTTACATTGATGTCTTTCATTTTGATTTGGTTGGTGCAGGTCTGTTTTCAATCAGGCTCACACTGATCATTGAACATTGGTAGAAAAAAGAGGATAGGCTTGGGTAGCTTATCTACCACTGTTTCTTTGACGAAGATTGTGATAGAGGGTTTGCTTTTGAATAGTAAAAAAGGATTAATGGAAGACATAAGCCAAATTTTGATGAAAATTCCCTGACATTTGGTCCTGTATCCTTCTTTTGTTGAGTGTCCTTCTCTAGTATTCAAGTTTCAGCATGTGACACACTTGTCGCCTTTTCTTAGAGAAACTGGCGAATGTTTTCTTGTTGGCTGTCATCACTCTGGCTGGAACTTTCAAAATTTCCGACACTGAAAGATAACATGAAAGACAAAGCTATTTTTCTTCTTAAACTGATTTACATGGTTTAGCATGAGATTTTATGATTCTGAAGTCAAAGTCAAGTCTTTTTAAGTTGCGTGGAATTTTATTATGGATGGAGTTTGTGGGTAAGCCGACTCCTGCATATGCAGGATCCCACTTAAATTTATTTTAAAAATGAATTTTTAATCCAAAATTTTATGGGTTCATGTTCAAGATTAAGACGATGATGAATATGGGAGAAAAAAAAAAGAAAAAATTTAAAATTTGATTTTTTCAGGAAAATTTCTACACGGTCTAAGTTCATTTTAGCCCCGAGGTTTTTTCACGACGTCCATGTTAGAGATGGATGTTAACTTTTCCTTTTATTATTTTATGAAGACATTTTTCGCGCAATGAAAAAAAGAGATTTATGCGTTGAACGTGGTGTTAAAAAACTCCAGCTAGATACTTGTCAAGTTGAAAATCAAGTCCACATGC